TTAACTTAATTAACTTAAAATTAACTGAACTAATTTATATCTTTTACATTTGAGCATAAGCAGTGGCACAAAAACATATAAAATGTAAAGAAGTATGAATTCTCGAGCTGTGAAACCGTTCCTTTGATTCTCTGCTGTGGCTCTGTTCTGTGCAGCAGTGGAACGTTCTCCACTCCATTTATATTAATGAGGCAGAGCATGGGCACAGTAATTACACCGAGGCTGTGATGTTTCCCTCCAGGTAGAAAAGGTTGGTTGGAGGAACATCCATTAGGAGAAATTCAATATTTGACTCAATTGTATTGTTTTTGTTTGTATAATTTTAAACTGTGTCATCATTAAATTTAATGCCTTTAGAAATAGATAAAGTTTGTACTGAAGGTTCATAAGACAATAAGTTCATATTCTGACTGTTTGAGTCTCTTCCTTCGTTGTGACAGAAAAGTCACCTGACCAAACCCCTTCAATCGAGTTTGCTTCGAGGCAGGAACAGTGTTAGCTACCTGGGGCAGTTTGTCGCTGCATTCGTGTTTGTGAAGCGGTGGCATTGCCGACTGGGCCGGTGGACAGTGCAGCCCCTCCGTCCTACCCTTGACAGAATATTCCGGCGTCCGTCCCTCTGTGATGAGCAGGGTCAGGAAGACCAGGAACTCCTCGGCGTCGTACTCGAAGAACTCCTCGGCTGCATCTGGAGGAGGCAGAGAACCAAAGGTTACTGGACGTTCTCTTTTTCACATGTCACTACAAAAACCTGCAGCACGGTTTCACAGTCGTGCTGTAAATAAAAGTCTTCACTGCTGTGGTCATCACACCTGTTTGGTTCTCCTCACATTTTCAGCTGGAGTTTCAGCTTTGGCTTGAAAAGCTTGTTTTGAGAAGCAGCTGATGAGTCAAGTGTTGGTGTTGTTGTATTTACCTCCATCATGTCAGCTGAGCACAGAGGTGTAACCACGCACACACCCGTGACATCACACACACACACACATTTACTTCGCCCCTGGACGAAGAATGACGTGAAAAAATAAACGCCCCTGGACGAAGAATGACGTGAAAACAATTAATAGAAAAAACCTTTTCTGTTTTTTTTCTTCTGATCCGTAAAAAACATTTTGGGAAAAAATATCAACATCAACGAGTCACACTGAAAAGTAAACCATGACATCATTTGATTTTATTGGCTGTCTAATTTCAGAGAAGCCTTGTGATTGGACGGTGATCAGTCACACAGAGGCTTTTCTTTCTTCCTCTTAACTTTCCAAAGCTAACAGTCGGCCATGGTGGCCCAGGTCAGTACAGCAGTGGGCGTGGCCTGTTCACCAGGATGTTGTTAGTCTCCTGTCATGGCAACGTCCACAGAAGCCTGCTCTGTTTGTGTTAGTGTGGAAGTTAGGAACTAAAATAAGGTATATTTTTAGCCGTGGACTGAGGAGCCCTTGTTGGCTCCGTCTCCTCCTCTCTTCTCTCCAGAACTCTCCCAGAATCCCGCAGGAGGAGGCAGCTAATATTCAGCAGAAACAGGACCAGGAACAGCCTCCTCAACAGTCTTTGGACTTTTCCCAGGACAAATCTAACGTCATCACGGAGTGCAATGTTGTTGTTTTTCTTTACATTTCTTTTTTTTTTTGCCGTGAAAGTCAGTCCTGCGTAAGGACAGAGACACAGACACCGTGTCCTCAGTATCAGAGCAGGGCTGCTGAGGACAGATCCCCTTTCAGCTGGCTCTGCAGAAGTGTGAGCTATAAGCTGTTGCATGTGTGTGTGTGTGTGTGTGTGTGTGTGTGTGTGTGTGGAGGAACACGTATTTCAGCCAGCCAACCAGTCACGCACAGTTCTCCCAGGGAACTCCTCCCACATGCCTTTGAGCTGCTGCTGCACGTGGAGCGAGGCGCACTCCAACACAAAACATGAGGGGGGGGGGGGGGGGGGGGAGGGGGGGCTGTAGGCTGAAAAAGCACAGGCTGAAAGAGACAGAATGCGAGGCTATATTCACACACCATCTCCGCTTCTTTATGGGCTGGAATCAAAAAGCTCCAGACAAAAGAAAAGAAACCAAAAAAAAAAAAATGACAAGAAACAGAAAGGAGGAGGAGTCAAAGGTCAGGATCCAAGGTCCCAGGGTTCATCACCTGAGACTTGAACACATGAACGAACTGGATTTACAAAAACCTGCAGAGAATAAACTGAACCAATAATGAGAATAGATTTAACTGTCAGGGAGTCAGGACTGAAGGCTGGTGAAGGGGGGGGGGCAGAGGAAAACAGCCACTGAGAAATGGTGTGTTACCCCTGCCTCTCAGTGCACACACACACACACTCTCTCAAACCCACCTCTGAACAGAGGTTTCACGTTGCTTGGGGAGGGGGGGGGGGATGTAAAGTAACTCATAACTGATACAAACTGAAAATTCATTTACTTTCTAACTAATTCTTGATTAAATAACCAACAACTAATTCCTGTTTTGTTTCTGTTCCTCTGTTTATCAGGACTTTCAGCCCGTGCTCTGTGTTCACCTACATCAACAACAGCCTTTAAGGCTAATTGGAACGCTGAGCCAGTAGCCATGTGGCAAACGAGACCCTGCCGTCCTCCTCCGTTTGTTTACGACCGTGTTCCATTCAGACCGAGCTCAGAGCGCAGCGTTCACGTCTTCTTCCTGTCCTCGTCGCTGATGGATCCATAAACGCACCATGACGGCGGCCACGTTACTCAGAACAACAGCCACCGATCAAAGTCCCCGTCAGGACACTGCAGCCCTGAGCTCCGACGGACTGGAAGAATGGTGTAAGCAGAATGAGATAAGAGCGTCTTCAGAGGAGGACGAGCAGACGAGCTCACGGACGGAGGCCCAGCTGTGCAGCCAGAAAGACAGAAACCTTTACAAGAATAAGGATAATTACACGCTCTTGTGGTTGAGGTTGCAACAAAAGGCAAATGAAGTGACATCAGCATCAGCTGAGATGATGTTAAATTTAGATTTTTGAACAAACCCATGGGAAACGTAACAAAATGTCCAGTTTTTACTATAGTAATGAGACTTGCTGCGAAGGGCGAAACAAATGTGAACATTTTCAAGAGCATCAGCAAATGTCCCTGCTGTTCTGAGTACACCAACGTTTAAGTCCTCTAGAACAAACACCAAGAGTCCAACTGGTCCATTTTCTACACTCCAATAAATGGTAAAAACAGAGTTGATCAGTGAAGCTGCTTCAGTCTCTGAAAAGACGTGACGATGTTTAGGACATCACAGAATTAGAATGTTGTAATCTTCAGTTCACATGATTGAATTACTGAGACCTGCAGAGGCCAGATAACCAGCCTGCAGCGGAGGGCTGTGTTACCGCCTGGTCCAGGAGTAACAGCAGCAGCAGTTACAGCAGCAGCAGTAACAGCAGCAGCAGCAGCAGCAGCAGCAGCAGCAGTAACAGCAGCAGCATCAGCAGCAGCAGCAGCAGCAGCAGTAACAGCAGCAGCAGTTACAGCAGCAGCAGTAACAGCAGCAGCAGTTACAGCAGCAGCAGTAACAGCAGCAGCAGTTACAGCAGCAGCTTCAGCTTCAGCAGCAGCAGCAGTAACAGCAGCAGCAGCAGCAGCAGCAGCATCAGCAGCAGTCTGCTGATCTTGCTGAGGTGTGTCAGCTCAACACTTTATGATATCGCGCTCCGTCTGAACGGAACAAAACCATTTATCATTCTGGTCGTGTCCCTGACTGGATGTGGTCGAAACAAACGCTCTGTCGGCTCCACGACATTTAAGTAACCGATGACTTGTTGCAATGACCTTGAAACATGTTGAGCATTAAAATGTGGAAAAGCCGAGGCGGATATTTCCAAATACAAATATCAAGTCTTATGCAAAACAACGTTATTTTGTTCTCAGTCAGATCAGTTCAGCCATTTATGCATTACCTGGGAGAACATTTGAATAAAATATTTCTTCCTAAGGCTGTGTATTAGAGAAGAACAGAACCCACTGCTGTGGGGCTTTAGATGAGATCATAACAAAAAAACAACCCTGCCATAACCAAAGTAAACGTCATCATCCGATGGCTGTGTGTCGTTTCTAATTCATAACCAGGATGTAATCCATGCAAACAAATCTTTTCAGAGGAAAATCCCGTTTTCATTTCTTTTGTTTCATTTTCACTCCTCCATGCTGTGGAAGCAGAGTGAGTGCAGTGAAGGTCCTTCCACAGTAAACCTCCATATTGCAGCCCAACTCAGATAAATATAGACACAAGTTGGTAGCTCTCATTTGACTGTTTTTCTCTCCCACTCTGAAGTGTCACTTCCCACACTCAAACATTCTATGACTTTCTGACTGCGTCTGCCTGCAGCCTCCACACCGACTCCCAGAGGTTCAACTATCTACAAGAGATTTTCTGTAAAACAACGACTTAGAGCCAACGGCCGCGCTTCGTGATCTTTACGTTCAGTAGGCAAAACAGAACTACAACGAGTGATTAAAAAAAATACAATTTTTAGAAGAAACTGAATACAGAGGCCACATGAAGTCAGGAGGCAGACGTGATGGGTCAGCAGCGTGAACACCTGAACTGCAGCGTTGCTCTCGTGTGTCTATATTTGGAGCTCAGTAGAAGGAAAGTGTGAACTGTGTCCAGGAGACTCTTTTCCTTCTGTCTCCGTCTTTTTCACTAACGGAACCAAGGACACTTGATTTGGACACGCCCAAATCAAGTGTCCTTGGTTCCGTTAGTGCTTATGTGGCGTCAGCTGTTTCAAACAGGCAGAGGCCACTTTGATTATTGGAGCAGCTACCAAACAAACAAACAAACAAACAGACAAACAGACAAACAAACAAGAGATCAAGCTACAGGAAACCTACAGAACCCTAAGATTGTCTCGAGTCCAGAAATAAAAAAGGCAGTAGAGCAGGTGTGGTGATGACCTCCTGGAAAAACCTCCTGAGCAACAAACACTGGGACAACCTGACTATCTTTATCTGGCAGAGAAGAACCAAACATCACGACTCAACTCTGCCTCTTCAGACCTTTGGTAAAAAACAACAATTTGACTTTGATAAAACGCTGATGGGACAAATGTCCAGCACAACGTTATTCTCTGTGGTCAGTATCAGTACATTGTGATCTGTGTCTTTTATGCCCCACCCACCTGGTCAACTGCCCCTCTGTCTGACCCCTACCCTTGGATGAAACACCACCTCTACTGTACTGTACTGTCTTATGATCTGAAGGGTCTAAACCTGCAGACAGCCCTGGACACACTGAGGGACTGACCCGGGTCTGTGTGAACAGCTGAGGTGTTCATGTGTGTTTGACCTCAGTGTGTGTGAAGATAAGAACGTGACACGTGATTCATCTGGACGTCATGTTGCTCCGAGGTGCAGCGCTGCCTCCACTCTGTCCGTGATAAGACGGTCAGCTGAACATGTCTGAACAGTCTGTGACATCAATCCACAGTCCCTGCCAGCTCAGCCTTTCCTGTTTCTGTCTGCCTCGTGCATTTAAAGATTAAAAAACAAAACCAAACAGTGGAGGTGCAGCACCAACAGCAGCAGCAGTAACAACAGCAGCAGCAGCAGCAACAACAGCAGCAGTAACAACAGCAGCAGCAGCAGCAACAGCAGTAACAGTAACAGCAGCAGCAGTTACAGCAGCAGTTACAGCAGCAGGAACAGTAACAGCAGTAACAGCAGTAACAGCAGTAACA